GTGTGTGTGTGTGTGGTCACCCCCCCCCTCCAAAAAACAACCAAAAAATGGCCAAAAAACACCCCTTGAAAGCACCACTCCCACCGGCGATTCCGGCCTGTTGCTTGGGTTCGGGATTCAAGCCGTGCTGGCGTGTTGCTATACACACACATACATACATACATACATACATACATACATACATACATACATATATATATATATACATGTTTACACTTATGTACATATACGTACATATATATGCACATATGCACATATACATATGTATCTATATATATATATGTATGTATTTACAAATGTACATACATTACGCACAGCATATCATGTGTATATATATATATATGTGTATCTATTGTTATGTGTATATTCATATATATATATATGCTGAATATAATATATGGATAGAGAGATCGACATATACGGCTTCGCAATGTGCGTCCCCCCACCCACCCCCCACCCCCCCGAATGGCATTCCCGCTGCCGCTGGCTGATTGCCTCAACCCACGCAAGCGCCTCGAGACTTGCCAACCGAACAGCTCAAAGGCCCGAGCCTTCCACAAAAAAAGGAGGGCCCTCTGATTGACATACATATATATATATATACACATTATATCTTTCTACCTGCCTGCCTGCCTGCCTGCCTGCTTAGCTAGCTGGCTAGCTAGCTATCTACCTATCCGTCTATCCGAGTCCATCCATCTGCATCTATGTATCTATCTATCTATCTATCTATCTATCTCTGCCTCTGTATCTCAACCCTCTCCCGGTTGATCGACTTCTGCGGTTTCATGTCATGTGAGAACGCGTGTGAAACCGGCAAGGTGTACCATGAATGGATGATGCATTGCAGCTTCACTTGCCCAAGTAAGGCCGCAAGCTGCACCCACAAGTCCGAAGATTTGCAAACGCAGAGCACAAAGCCCCAAAAGCCAAAAACCCAAAACCCAAGCCTGGAGTCGCTCCTCCAATTTGTTGGACCGGGATTAGACGACAGAACATCAGCACCTTTTCTCATGTCATCGTTAGTAACGGTTTCGCTGCTCTACTCCGAATCAAGACAGCTCGATGCGAACATTCGCTGGCTAGTGCGGCTAGTATGAGGCAATTTCAGTTCGAAGAACTCTCAACCTTCAGCCTCAGCCCAGCAACGCCCCCAGGTCCAAGCCACGCAAACCCCAGGCTGAAGCCGTGTACAGTAACAGCAAACCTGACACCTCAGACAAACGATTTGAGCTTCCCGAGGCGAGGCATCTAGTGCATCTAGTGGATGTCATGTAATGGCAAGTCCTCAACCTACAACCGACCCGCCCCTCCAAAGCCAAGTCCTCAAGCACATGGAGTTTTAAATATGCAGAACCTAGATCACTAAATCCCAAACCCCGAAGCCGGTAAACCTTCGACGCCAAGCCCTTGAATTTAAAGACTAAATCGGTCCAAAATGACTGTTGCTCCTACAGACGGTAAACTTGAATTGAAGTTTTCGCGGACGGGAACAGCTGAACCCTAAATGTAAGCGATGGGAAGACGGCTGCTCCCACTGCTGCTGCTGCTGCTTCCGCTGTCGGAAACCAGCAGCTGTGAAGCATCATAGGTAGCTAGAAGCAGGCATGTGTGTACTGTAGCAAGTAGCTTAGCTGTACTGGTCAATTACTTGAAACTCTATGCGTAACTACCCATGACCCCTCAAGTACGTAGTTTGGGGACAATGTGCAATGCGACTTGATCGTTATCACCGGTTTGGATGGTATGTCTGCACATACCGCTAGCCCAAAGAAGTAGATTGGGGCATGATTAGGGTAGTCGGATTTTGATGGTTTGGGGCAGGGATAATGCAGGAAGAAGGATACAAGCTGAGACTCTTCGACTTTCGTTTGTTCCGACATCGACGGGTTTCTTTGTGCTCAGACAGCCTCTTGCGAGGGCGTGGGCTTGGTTCTTAAGGATTCAGCCGGCATTGGATTCTCAGCACAACTATAGCAGGGGAGGTTGGACACACGCGTGTTGACTCGAGCACCAATAAGTGATGTTTGTGGTTTAGGAACCCTGGATTGCAATCAAATCAAGCAAGGAAGATGCTAATACTGTATCGATCATGATATTGCCAGGCAATTTTCCAACCATACACAAGAAAACCCTTGGGCGGTGGAGATTTGTGTTAAGGGTTGGGTTATGTAGTTGGGCCCAGAAATCAGCTGTCGAGGAGGCTGTGGAGCCTGCCGACATGCACCGGGGATTGAGGTCGCGGAATCCGTACTGGATGTTATGCGGCAGGGTGTGGACTAATGTAGACCGTTTTTATATGTAGGTGACCCTCTTCAATGCACTTTTCCCGGTGGCTTCTTCAGGTGTCGCATTATTTTTGGCTGTCCTCTAGAATGCTCCAAAACTAGCCCTGTGATGTTTGTTATTAGTACGTGCTGCCGGCTGTTTACATCCTCTACTCGAACCAATGCACAGCCCGGTCACAGCCCCACAGACGCGTCGCAAGTTCACAAACTTCGTGGATGTAAAGCCCAAATCCTACAAAGCCCAAGTAAGATTCGAACCTCCCCAGTACTGTAGTGCCCTTAGTCGCTGCTTTTGCTTCTGGTCTCCGCATTGTAAATGCATGGCGCTGTATGGCAGACAACAGGCTATGGGTATCCCGCATAATGCGGGGTTCCGGTCCTAAACCCTTGGTCCCTTGGTTCTTAAATGTGCCTGCTCAGGGCCGGGCGGCCGCACCCCAATCTGTCCAAGCCACAGAGCTTTCGAGCGGCAGTCGCTTGCCAGAAATGCTCAGAGACTTAGGGGCATTAGGCTCAGGGTTAAGTACAGGTGCTTGACCTCGAGGCAAGTCTAAACGCTTCGCATCGTCCGCCTGGTCCGGCAGCAGAAAAAGGAAGGAGGGTGCGGTGGGCCAAGAAGGACAGGGGGGTTTCCGTGGTTCGGGATTAAGGGAGGTTGATGTTTTCATTGGAGGATGTTATGTTTTCATTGGAGGATGTTTAACCCAGGCCTTACTCATTTCGAGTTCGATTTAGTGGGTGAAATTGTTTCGTTTTTTGGCTTGATCCATCATTACCCATCGATTAAACCTTCAGCTGCTTGTAAATTTGCTGAACCTCAGGCTGCTGGCAGCGCTGGGTTCTGGCGGCAGAGGTGGCTCCTGCGATCTGAAGAGCTGTTGAAGCAGGGCCTATACACCTGCCGCATAGGATGTTGTCCCGTGTCCTCTGCTGGATTACATAGTCGTTTGTATCGATGCACTTGAGAGGCTCAGAGGGCATGAAAATATTGCTCTGTATTGCTGGAAGGTCTCTGAAAGTGCTGTTCTGGCATGCAAAATTATCGGAAGCAGAACCAACAGATGCACAGGTCTTTTCAGTACTTCCGGCCGTGACAGGGTAAACAAGTGTGAGGTGGATTTGCGTGTTTTGTTTGTTGTTCTGTAGCACACTTGTGTGCGAAATGACAACTCATTGCTTTCATCAATCACCGACCGGATCATGTGTGGATCTACTGAATCCGATTGAATGCGAACTTGTTTGTATTCCGTTGCCATTTGGCTTAATTAGGTTCTGATTCAAAGTTTCTTTTCTCCTCTCCTTCGGGGTTACTGCGAAGGCAGTCATGGCTGCTCGCCGAAGTAACTCTTGGTTCGAGTTCCTCTGCGAAGGCACCCCTCTCCGAGTCTGGATTGCAGGTCTGTCAGCGCATCCTTGACTCGAAGAACTGTAACAACTGTGCAAATTGTGCGAATATCAACCCCGACTTCAAGGGCGAGAAATGGGTAGTCTCAGATTTGATCTGCCACAAGTGGTTTAAGGCGTGTCATTATCCAGCACGGTGTTGGAATCAGCATGATTGGACCTTCGATAGCGCAATGCGTGCAGATGTTCGCATGCACCAGCAACTCCGAGGTGACCGACCTCCATTTCAATTCGAGCCCTTCGGGGGAGGCATACTCCGACAGGTTAGTCGCGCCAAAGGAACACTCTGGCCTTGCATCGTTTCGAGACGATTAAACACTGGAGAGTCGGTACCAACTACACGTTGTACTACGACTATGAGATGTCTCCGAAGACGCGGTTCGGTTTCGTGCTGAAAAAGAACTACGACGTATGGAGAAGAATGCGGCTCATTATCGTGGTCCCTCACCGAGAGGACGAGGGGCATCCCCCGCTCAAGCATCATGGCGACCACCGACGAAAGCAACTGCAGCTTCCTGGATTGATAAGCGACCTTCGACACCACCGTGGACTTCCTTCCCTCCAGCTCGACCTGCTCCGACTGCGACAAGTTCCGACAAGTACTTCGATGGCCCGGCCATGGAGACAGAGTCGGATGCCTCATCGCCTCCACGTTTCGCGATCCTCCTTCCGCCAAGGCGGCGTGGAAGATCGGGGCACTTCCAGTGCCTCCGATACCAACGACTATAACCCATACACCTGGATCATGTGACTTGGGGGTTCGGCTTCGTTCGATGTTTGGCCTTTGGGTGGGATACCTGGTTTAGGCGACTTGGGCCGGGGAAGCCGGCGCTGCGACGCAGTGCAGCATGCTCTGGCGCGGCACATTGCGCCACACCGACGTTTGCACAACCTCTGCTGAGCTTTGCAGCTTCGCAGCTTCGATCGAATAGGTGGATGGCGTGCGTGGCAGACCGGATTCCTGGTTGATGTGTGCCGCGTTCGCTTTGACTGACTCCTGCGGCATGATGACGGCATGGACAATCTTCGAACGTTTTGCTGGTTTCCTACAAACAGGAAATCTGGATTTTGGGCCTCTGGAGAACTTGAAGTAGGCCTTGAGGTTAGTGTTTTTGGTTTAGGGTTCGAGGGTGTGGGGTCAGAGGTTATAAGGTCTAGGCAGAACCTTGAGTCTATGGCTTTGGGCGTTTAGATTTTCGAGTTTACACTTATGGGTTGGGGCTTGAGGGTTTGGAGGTCTGAGTGTCGGGTTTAGGGTGATTTGACCGCTTGAGGGCTGAAGATTACAAGGCCAAAGGTTGGAGTCTTGAGGTGACGTTTTGGAGTATGTTATATGAAGTTATATGTGTTTCTTTTTTTGGTTGATTGTCTTGTTGCGAGATTAGTTGCTGCTTTTCGCACCTGCTACTGGGTTTACCCCACATAAAGCTTCAAATTTACCGACAGCCACAATTTGTGGCGATTTCGCGCGATGGGCGCACCAGAGAAAGGCTTGAAAAAAGCGTGCACCAGTCTAACCAGCAGTAGCCACCGTCGAAATCCATGGTATTTGCTTCCCCAAGTCCATGAGAAAACAGAAGAACAAAACAACCATGAAACCACAAATTCAGCCAAGATTGGTCTACGATACAAAGAAATCACAGAACACCAGGATTGTGCGAAATTCCACGAAACGGAAAACGCACACCCTTCACAGCAGCACCCGCCGTTTCTTGTTGTTGTTGTTGTTAGTGTTGTTGCTACGTGTTGCACCCACAGCATTGGTCCTGGGGCGAAGAAGAAGAGGAGTACGCCGAGGAGGACTACTATGATTCTTGGCGTGGCCGGAGCTCGGACAACTGGCGTTGAGAGGCACAGCCTAACACAAATGAGGCACAGCCTGCTGCCGCAAGGCCACCGATGCTATCAATTGGTGCCGCCACACCGCCTGTGCTTTTCTGCCTTCACCTCGCACTACAAGCGAGACGGACGACGCACCTCTTTCTCATTGCTGCACAAAACACTGTGCGTGCACTAAGTGTTGCATGCTTGCAGTAGTGTGCTGCATTCGTCATTGTGAGAGCTGAGAGGTACAATGGTAGCCCGACTTCTTCACGCGCTCAGGAGCAGGTAGTTCTTTGGCATAGGTGCATGCGGCAGTTCAGGCATTCAAAGTGCGGTTACAGCATGTTCACGTGTTCGTGCCGTGCCTCGCAGAAGTGCTCGTCCCTACGGCCCATCGCCCTCGATTGTGAGTGACCAAGTGTGGGACGCCACTAGACTGGCACTCCGGGAGACGGCTTGTGGCGGCTTGCTGCTCCAAGTACGACCCAGCAATCGTGGGTTCGTGAGTATCGGACGCGATGGCTCACACTGAGGGTGTCGGGGGTTGTACCCAGCTTTTCACTCGGTAGACAAGCCAACAAGCTTCGGAACAACGGACCTGAAGCTCCGTTCTTCGCAGTACGTCATGCAAACCTCTTTTACACAGTTTTTAGCACAGAGTCAGCTTATCCCTGTTTCACATGAGTGCCAGGTCAGGCAATACGCCCGCCAAGCGCAGAGCACGCTCGCGTTGCTACGTGTTGTTATTGTTAACGTTGTCGCTGTTTTTGTTGCAGTTGTTGTTGGTGGTGGTGTTGCTGTTGGTGTTGTTGTTGGTGGTGTTGTTGGTGTTGTTGGTTTTGGTGTTGTTCTTCTTGTTGTTCGTGTTGTTGTTATTGTTGTTATTGTTGTTATTGTTGTTATTGTTCTTGTCATTGTTCCAGTTGTTGGCAGCTGCTGTGTCTGCCACCCCGGAGGGTGGAGCGGTTTCAAGGCTGCAACGTGGTAAAACTCGAGTTTTGGCACATGGCTGTCTGGGCAAAACACCTCCGCGTTTCATGTTTTACGGTGTTTTCCTGAAAAAGCATGTTCGCTTCAGGGCTGCGCCATGACAGAACTCGAAAGTTCGCACATGGCAGCTTGGATTTCTGTGGGCATTTACAGTCATCCGTGGCTTCTCCATTCCCGTTCTTTGCTTGCAAGTCGGCTGCTTTCTTCTTTGGACCTGCTGTGTCTGTGTTTCTGTTTGCATCCGTGCAAATGAAGGTGGGGAGTGTGCGGGGGCATGACAACGTCCCTGCGAATGCGGCTTGCATCTAGTGTATTTTTTCGCTCCGTGCAGGGGTGGTTTTACGGAGGCGTCGTAAATACATGTAAATACCGTGTTTTTCGTTGTTTTTGCCCAGAGCCTTAGCAGCTCCAGATTCAAAGCTGTATTCCTAAAGCAGATTGCCTTGACCGTGTTGACGATGGTGAGGATGATGATGGTGCTGATGCTGATGATCATGATGTCGATACTCATGATTACGATGGTGTTGCTAGGTATGATGATAATGATGTTGATGTTGTTGCATGAACAGATGGCGATGTTCATAAGTATGATGATAACAATGACAATGACAATGACCATGTTGCTCCCTGTTACTTTCGCAGACGCTCCAACCAGAACAGTCGTGCGTTTTGTGGGCTTTCCAAACAAGAACTTGAAAAAATGAATGCAAAACTGCCTCAAACAAAAACTATGAATCTTATTCACGAAAACCAAACAAAACTCCAGGTTTTCAGGCTCTCGACCAAAAAACCTTTTAAAACAAAACAAGCAAACAAACAAACAAAACCGTCACACTCTCCGCGGCGGCAGACACTACAGCTGCCTTCTTGTTGTTGCTGTTGTTGTTGTTGGTGGTAGTGTCGGTGTTGGTCTTGGTGTTGGTGTTGGTTGCGGTGTTGCTGCATCTTGTTTTATATATTGTTGTATCTCGCATGTTTTTCTTTGGATGTTCTTGCATGGTGTTGTATGTGTATCTTGTTGCCTGTTGGTGTTGTCTGTTGTTGTACGATGCTGTATTTGTTGTATACTGTTGTATCTTGTTTTGTGTAGTTGTATGTTGGTACCTGTTGTTGTATGTTACTGTATGTTGCTGCTTGTTGCATGCATGCTGTGTGTTGTATGTTGCTGTCTGTCGTTGTCTGATGCTGTCTTTGTTGCGTGTTCTTGTATTCTGTTGTATGTTGTTGTATGTCATTGTGTGTGTTGTCTGTTGCCATATGGTGTTGTTGTTGTGGTGGCGGTGGCGGCGGGGGTGGT